ACCCTGCTGGTGGGAATGCAAATTAGTACAACCACTATGGAAAACAGTATGGAAATTCCTTAAGTAACTATAAGCAGAAATATCATTTGATCCAGCAATCCCACTACTGGGCATCTACCTAGAGGAAAAGAAGTGATTACATGAAAAAAAGCACTTGTACACACACGTTTATGGCAGCACAATTTGCAATTACAAATATATGGAACCAACCTATGTGCCTATCAACCAACAAGTGAACAAAGAAAGTGTGGTATATATATACACCATGGAATACTACTCAGTCACTAAAAGGAAAAAAATAATGTATTTTACAGCAAATTGGGTGATGGTGGAGGCCATTATTCTAACTAAAGTTACTCAGGAATGGAAAAGCAAACATCATATGTTCCCACTTGTACATGCAAGGTAAGCTATGAGGATGCAAAGGCATAAGAGTGATACAATGAACTTTGGGGGACTTGAGGGGTGAACGTCGGATGAGGGTGGTGAGGGATTAAAGATTATATGTTGGGTACAGTGTATATTGCTTACATGATAAGTGCACTAAAATCTCATCACCACTAAAGAACCTATCCACGTAACCAAAATCCACCTGTACCCCAAAAAACTATAAAGAAATAAGCCTTGAAGTCAGAAAAGAAAAAAGATCCCTGAACTCATGATGCCACATTAAGGTAAGGGTAAGGATATGATAAACATCCTGCACAGGTTTGGAAAGTATGAATTCTTAGAATCTTTTAGCAATACAATTTAGAAATATCTAACAAGTTGTGAAATACATATATCATTAAATCCAATAACATTATTTCTAGGAAGGGACTCTACAGACATGCTTGCATATCTATACACACATGCACTAATGAAGTGCACAAAATGCCATGTACCATGTATTTATGTTGCAGCTTTGTTTATAATAAAAAATGGATGTAACTAAAGCATGTATTAACAGGAAATTTTTTAATTAAATGATGGACAGTCATATAATGGAAAATGGTTTACAAAAAGGTAGTAGTGACGTACTGGAATATATACACAATACGTTTAATGAACAAAACATACAATGCAGTGTATTGTACATAGTGTGATCCCACTATTATAAAAAATAATGAAAATAGCAGACTTTAGTGATTATCATACACAAATTACATCTGAGAGTAAGTTGATAGGCTAGAGTAAGCCTTTGGTAAAAATACAAACCTATCAGTGTGATAGATTTAAGACTGTCATTGCTCTAGGTACTGTAGAAACCCACTGATCTGATTAGCCTTAAGAATTTTCAACAGGAAAATGAGAACAAACAATAAAAATGATTTATTGGTACCAGATTCCGAAAATGTTTCATGACTCACACCTACATATTGCTAGATTTGCACTGCTGACCAAATATATGACATCTCTTATATATACACATACATACTGTTCACATGCTCATAAACCAAAAGACAAAAACTGAAAGAAATTTATAACATTTCAATACCACAAATCAGTATTTCTATATGTAAAATATAACCAAATATACCAAGTACTTTCAAGTTATAAAGGTGCTTAGTGATGCCCATTTACTCATCTCATTTCTTTATCAACTATTAACGGCAGCAGCTACTCCAGAGAGCCTGCGACTGCCATCACGCTGGCTACAGCAGCGAGGCATGGCCAGGGCTGCATGCTCCATGGAGTGTGTGGGAGTCAGGGACAAGTGGGAGCCCGACCTTTTCTGAGTTGAGGCAGGAGCTCCCCTGGTGCACTGCAGCCATTCAAAACACAGCTACAGACCGGGGCCTCCCAGGCCACACCTGCTCCATTGAGCAGGCAGGAGCCACTGCCCCGCATTTCCCCACACAGCTGCAGTTGCCCAAACCATGGCTGCACACTCAGTCATCCCTGCACCCTTGGGGGCCCAGAAAGGGCCCTTGCCCTCACAGGCTCAGAAGTGCCTGCTCCCACTTCCTGGCTTCTCTCTGCTGTTGGCACCCGCTCTGATCTTGCAGCAAAGTCGAGGCTGAGCCTGGGTGCCATGAACAGCAGTGGGAGACACACAGATTCCTGAGAAGAAAGGGATGGATGCCTGGTGAGGATGGGGATGACCAGCAGCAGAGAGGAGCTACCCACTCCAGGGTCTCCTTTCTGTTGTGCACTTTAGAGACTTGCAGGGACATCAGGACTACCAGCTGCAGAAAGGAGCAACCCACACCAGGGCCTCCTCTCTGCTTGGAGCTGGGGAGATGATGAGCGCCTGCCTGCAGAGAAGAGCAACCCATTCCAAGGCCTCCTATCTGTTGGGAGCTGGGAAGATGACAGGACAACCTGCCTGCAGAGAGGAGCTTCCCACTCCAGGGTCCCCCCTTTGCTAGGAACTAAACACTCAGGACATCCTGACTGCAAAGAGAAGCTACCCCTGTGGGTCTCCTGTGAACTACTCTATTGCTCAATAAAACCCTTCATCTTGGCTCACCCTCCACTTCTCTGTGTACCTCATTAGTCCTGGTCACAGAAGAACTTGGGACCTGCCAAACAGCAAAGGTAAAAGAGCTATAACACAAACAGTGCTGAAACATGCCCATTGTTTACCATGTTGCAGTCAAAGGAAAGAATAGCTGCAGCCCCTGGGGAAACCCAGACCTGGGAGCTCCCTCAACCAGGGCTGTGACTTCATCCTTGGGGTCCTGCAGTGTCCAGCATCTTCAAGCTGCTGGGTACCACAGAATTCCTGGTGCCAGCCAGGGAAGCTGCTTATGGTGTGTCTGGGCCAGCCACAGCCTTGCAGAGAGCTGGCACCTGTGCCAGCACCCAGAGCTGCCTGCCCTGCTGCAGTAGCCAGCATGTCTGACTGCACGGTGGCCGGATCCCATGCTCACACACCCCCTGCCACCCCATGCCTGATTTGACCTTGGCAGGCATGGGATCCAGGCTGGTAGCATGAGAAAAGTGCAGCCTGCCAGGCCAAGTGGGTGGAATGAGCCCAGAAGGAACAAGAAAACTCAGGAAAAGGTGCCACCAGACAGAGGTTTCAGGCCAGAAAAACAACACTCTAAAGATCCTGTAACACTATTACCTACAACTACTAAGAAGTTTTTATAGAAATAAAATATATTTTTATGACAAATTCAGCATTCTATTTTTCCATCTTCTAAAAATAAAAATAGGCACAGACATTGAAATAGTAAGAGTTGGCAAACTTTTATTTTCTACTTCACACTTTTAACTTTATTGAAACAACCACTGTTGCTTATGAGTCTGCAGCTACTTTGCATGTTGGATGTGCATATATAGCAAAGGTTACTCATTTAAGTAGGTATTTTGTTTGTTTGCTTTGTTTCCTTAACTAAGAGCAGTAAGAGGCAAGCTCTCTGGATTTTGTGAAGCTATCTTTGTTCCTTTGGCACCCTCCCATTCCCTCATCCCTTTCTTCAGCCTGAGGACATTCTACCAGTGAGTCTGTATGGGTTGGGGGTGGGGGCAGTTGCTGAATCATAATTAGGAATAGGTTTATATGAATAATATCTCTGTGTTATTCATCATAAAGTTACTAAACACATTCAAATTTGCTTCACTCCATTATTGCATATTGAAAATACAAGATGAAGGCAAACAGAATATGTAAACATTTCATACTGCAAGACAATGAATGCTTGTTTTAAATCTCTGGAGATGGTTTTGTCTGGCTCTGTCCCCACCCAGATCTCATCTCAAATTGTAATCCCCACAATGCCCATGTGTTGAGGGAGGGATCTGGTGGGAGGTGATTAGATCACAGGGGTGGCTTCCCCCATGCTGTTCTCATGTTAGTGAGTTCTCATGAGATCTGATGGTTTTATGTGTGTTTGACAGGTCCTCCTTCACAGGCACTCTCTTGCCTGCTGCCGTGTGAGACATGCCTTACTTCCCCTTGACTGTCAGCCATCCGCCATGATTGTAAGCCTCCTGAGTCCTCCCCAGACATGCTGAACTGTGAGTCAATTAAACCTCTTTCCTTTATAAATTACCCAGCGTCGGGTAGTTTCTTTATAGCATTGTGAGAACAGTGTAATACAGGGAATACTAGGTCAGGTTAAGAAAATGAAGAAATAGGTTAAAATGAGAGGGAAAATTGAAAAGATTTCCCTATTTACGATGGTGTAAGAACTTATAATACACTACCAACACAGGATCTGTCTGGGTTTTGAAAAACTTCAAAAATGATTACAAATATTTTTTTTCCTGAAAAGTATTCCTGTCTGAGAGCTGTGGGACCAAGTAAATGACTACACCATTTATTTCTGCATTCTGATTTAATGACAAGGTACATTCCTTTAATATTATTATTATTATTATTATTTTTGAGATGGAATCTTGCTCTGTTGTCAGGCTGGAGTGCAGTGGCATGATCTCAGCTCACTGCAACCTCCACCTCTTGGGTTCAAGCGATTCCCTGGCCTCAGGCTCCCAAGTAGCTGAGACTACAGGCATGTGCCACCACACCCGGCTAATTTTTTGCATTTTGGCAGAGACAGGGGTTTCACTATGTTGGCCCGGATGGCCTCGATCTCCTGACCTCATGATCTGCCCACCTCGGCCTCCCAAAGTGCTGAGATTACAGGCGTGAGCCACTGTGCCTGGCTCTCCCTTAATATTCTTAACCTAGTATATACATTTAAATCAAGCCCCAAGCTTTTCACCTATATTAAAATAATAAATAGCACATGTAAAATTTCCTATTAGGCAAACAAAAACATCCTATTAAAGTGCACATAATAACCTTATCTATGACTATCAATCATACAATAAAGTATTTTCTCTTGGTTAAAGAAAAGTTACAATTTTCCCCAAAAGTAGTAGCTCTAGGTAGGTAAGTTTTTTTCTTTATATCTAAAACAAAAATATTCTTTTCTTTTTTTTCAATAGGCTTGCCATCAAAATATAATAAAGGTGATTATTTCAGTGCCAGGTGCCTCAAGGTAGCACTTGTTACACACATTTAAAGAACTGCCTAAACAATGAAGCAATTTCAGAGAATGACTTACCCTCCCTTAATGTAGTCAAGGAATGAAACTTCTGTTTCTACCAAGAAAGAGAGTAAAGTTACCTGAAAAAGAAAAAGACAAAATTACCTTCTAGTTGTTTGTAACCCCAAATAGACTCTTTTCTATTAGAGAGAAAATCATATTTCTTTGCATTTTGAAAATCACTAAGGACATTATTTTTTATTAACATCTGCTAGGACTGATTGTTCTTACATTTAAAATTATCTGAAGGAAAGGGACCAAAAAAAATTAACCAATGTCTTTCCATGACCAGTTTCCTTCCTTTGAAGAACAGCATGAAAATTATCTACAAGGACATTGTGTTATTTCCCACTGTAGATAAAAGGAAAGATGAAAGGGAGTTAAAACCAAAAAACCAAAATCAGTGAGCAAAGCCTTCAAGAGGAAATGTGTGTTTTCAGTCATGTTTCTGTAATGAGCCCATCTAATGTTTTAACTGTCTTGCTTTATAGAGATCTTTAAAAGAAAACAGAAAAAACTTAGATTTTGCTTCTCCCCAAAAAAGTTAATCTGAAATAAAAACTCTGCAGTACATTTTTTCTTAAAATGCTGATTTTTTGTGATTGTTTGATACTTCCATCTTTCTACCCTTCTGTACTGATTTAGTACATCATTCCCACAGAGTTGTCAATTGTAATGACAACTTTTTTGAATGAGCACATACACATACCATGAAATGAGTCTTACTTAAGTACAGCCTGTAAAGAGTACAGTATTTCTTACTTCCATTTATATTTTTTATGTCTGCCTGATTCACTCTACTCTGATTCCATTGAATGAAGAGTTTATAATACAACCTTCATCCTCTCTCAGAGGCCTTGCAGCCGCTAGAATAATCTACAAGAAGCCAAGTCACTACCTTCTAACAGCTGCTCTCCATTACAATCAGTCCCCTGGGAAGTTGATTTTTCTATTGTGTTCCTTCATATTAAAACACTAAGTGAAACACAGCTCAGATTTTCAATTGCTTCTAGTAGGATTAAAGATGCCATATACATATATGCTTATTCATTTATTTTAATCTTTAAAAAATAACATAAAATTTGACTTACTGTTCCAGAATTAGTGTATTTTTTCTTTTTTCCTTTCTTTTTGGGATTCACCACCTTAAAAGGCAGACAAAACAATTAAAATGTGTTAGGGTTTATACTGACTTTTAAAACATTTGTAGTTCAACTTGCGGCCTTCACTTCTTATGCATGTATTCATTTACAAATGCTTTCAGTATGACTTTAGACAGTCATTCAGCCAAAACTTCTCTGCAAAGGTTAATAGTGACTATCTTAAAAAAAAATGTTTTGTTTGTAATATTCTTCTCACCTGTACATATTGATTACCCTTAACTATGGTCACCTTCTTGATATGATAGAGACCTTTAACATCTAAGGTCCTAAATAATGAGTGCTTTATAGAAAAATGATGGGTTGTTAAAGTATATTCAAGTGACATAACTTTAAAAATTAGATGAAATACACGAACATAGCAAATCATCCAATGTGTGAATATTTAAAGGATCCGTTGACCTAACTATTGCTTTATAATGATGGTCATTTCCACCAGTTACCAATGCTACACAGTAATTGGTAAATGTCTGGTTTGTGGACATAAGATTGGCCTTTTGACTATTTGTTCCAAGAGTAAATTTGATTGCAGTTCTATATTTCATAAAACATTAGGGGATATAGGAAATATTAAGATAAGTATGACCTGCAAATCTAATAGGATAAATATAATACATAATTGCCTGAAGACAGACTTCTTCAGATCATCTCAATCCAAAATATGGGGAAAGCATTTGACAGGAAAAGATGAAATAATTTGTGAATAAGTAATTAATTGAACCGTAATTTATTATTTTAACTAGTGCTTCAATGTTAAAAAATCAATAAATACGGCATTCTAGGAAGAAGAAAAAGCAACTGATCCAGGTTGGCTGGGGTAGAGAGCCCACATAACCAGGTCAGAAGTGAATCTGAAAAAATAAGCTGAGGCCATGTTAAGATCCTTAATCCCAGGCCAGGGAGTTTGGGTGTTATTTAGTTGATGTTTAACAGGAGAATTATATAATAGGTCTACAGCAGCAGTCCCCAACCTTTTTGGCACCAGGGACTGGTTTCATGGAAGACAATATTTCCATGGACGGGGGTGTGGAGGATGGTCTTGGGATGAAACTGCTACCTCAGATCATCAGGCAATAGATTCTTATAAGGAGCACACAGGAGGCAAAGCTCAGGCAGTAATGCTCCTTTGCTTGCAGCTCACCTCCTGCTGGGTGGCCCAGTCCCTACAAGTCCACAGGCCTGTACTAGTCTGTGTCCTGAGGGATGGGAACCCCTGGTCTACAGAATAGAGTTGTAAGGGGAGAAAATGGAGGCAACAGTTGGGGTCCTATTTTAAATAGTCTATGCAAGAAGTAATAAAACATTAAATACGGCAGCCCCATTGAAAATTGCTTGCAGAGAAAAATTAAGAAAACAGAATAAAGTACATTTGGTAGGTTAAAGTAGAAAATCTAAAGAAGAAATGGTCATCCATCTCATGTATTACCTATTGTGTATTTCAGAAAGCCCTAAATGAACACATTCTATAGGAAAACGTGCATCAGTAAGGATGGTGGGTATCACCAGCAAGATCACACATTTTTCAGATGGTTCAGTGGTTTTACTATTAAGTACAGAAAAGGTTATCTGGAGGAGAAAGGTAATGTTTGATCTTGAGGTTTGAAGAATTACTCAATTCTTCCAGATAATCTGAGGAACACACAACTCTCAACAATATATAGGAAATCAGTGAATAAAGTTCATTCAATCATAAGTTTGAAAATAAAGAGTTCAGTGATACACTTTTCTTGAAAAACTGTATTTCAGCATTTTTCTACCTAAAAATCATTCATCTAGCATTATGCTTTTGGTTTAGAAGAGGTTTTCCTAAATTTTAGGAGCCACTTTTAGAATTTCAGAAGCATCTTTCAGTTCATATTAATCTTTTGTGTATCAGCATATCATAAGGTACTACTGTCACAGAAATATTACCTCAGATGATTTGGTTTTACATTACATAATTAAATTTAATTACATAAATATTTTTTCATTTAATCATACAGGATCATTTCAATCACCAATAATACATCTGATATAACAATAATAAAGTTATGTAATATATAAATAAAATAGCATTTGTCACTTCTAAAACTAAATAACGGACTATGGAAGTAACTTTAGAATGATGGAATAAGATGCTCTGAAAAACTGCTTGTCCATAAAGACAATAAGAACATTACCAAAAATTGTCAAAATCAAATTTTTTTCATGAATCTGGAAATTAATAAAAGGCTTGCAACAATCAATGATCACTCATTCAAGAAAAAGAGTAAATCTCACTATGTCATTTTAATTTGCTTTACTCCAGTCCTACTTTTCTCAGCTCTGTAATAGCACTGAAAACCGTCAGCTTAGTAACTACAGTAGCTGTGTAAACCAACAGTCTAAAAGCCACCGGAGGGGACAGAATGGGTATGAACTTCTTCAAAAAGTGTCTGAGGTAATGAATGTGATAATTACCCTGATCTGATCATTACACAATGTGTATATATATTGAAACACCATACTGTACACCATTAATATTTACAATTATCATGTGTCAATTAAAAACAAAAGAATGTGTCTTTTCTAGAGAACTGTCATTAACTGACCTACATGGAAGCTTTCTGGAGAAGCTCCATTCATAGGGCTTGGGCTTGTCATTAACTGACTTAGCTTGCTCAGGAGAAGCCCTATCTCCAAGACATTTGTGAAAAGCAGTCAGTGGCAGGTTTGTAACAGCATATCTGCTGGAGGTGATGATTTTATCTGGGCCAAGTAAGAGGCTAACTCAAAAAAACAAAAAGGAAGATCTAGGGAATGGGATGTTTATAGGGGGCTTTAAAAAGCTCTGGGTTATTGCTGGAAATCTGGAAGGCCACACCCTTTGAAGTGCTATACACATGCCCAGGAAAGATCTAGGGAATTCTTATCTCCGTCCAACCTCAAGTCTCTGCTCAAACAAGTGAAAGCTAAGTCAGGATTTGACATTGTTGGAGCACATAAAGAGTGCCCCAATGCACACAAATCTCTATCAAATCATCTGCTGATCACAAATCTAACCAAGCAAACACTTAAGTAGCCCACACAACAAAAAGTAATGATTTTATAGAATTTGTCCTTGAAAATCACTAAACAAAGAGCAAAAAACACCTTGGAGAAGGTGGAGAATCTAATTTCCAATATAATCCATTATATTACTTAAAGTTTCCAGCATTCAACAACAACAAAAATAAGATTTTCAAAGAAACAGGAAAGTATGGACCACCTTTTCTATACACAGAAAAAAGTAGTTGACAGAAATTGTTCCTGGGGACTTGCAGACATGGGATTTATTAAACAAAGTTTTTAAATCAGCCATTACAGATATATTGAAAGAAGGAAAACATGTCTAAAGGATTAAGTATGAAACAATTCCTTGCCAAATAGAAAATATTAAAAAAAGGATCAAAATTATATAAAAAGGAACCAAACAGAAATTCTCTACTTGAAAAGTACAACTGAAATGAAAAATTCACCAGGAGCGTTCAACAGAATATTTGAGCTGGCAGGAGAAATAATCAATAACTTTGAAGATTTGTCAATTGAGATTTTCCTGTTTGAGAAACAAAACAAAAAAAAGACAAAGAGAAAAAAAAACAAAAAACAGAGCCTAAAAGAGCCACGGGCCACCATTAAGCATAACCACGGTGTGGTTATGCATAAAGAAGTAGAATGGTAGTACCAAAAAGAGAGAGGAGAAGGAGAAAGTGGCGGAAATAATTATTTGAAGGACTCATGGCTGGAAATTTTTTCAGTCGCATTGATAAACCTGAATCCCTTGCACAAGTGCAGATAATGATGTTTGCAATGTATTGGACTAGATTGTCCATTGAAACCCTAAAATTACTTGTACATAATTCATAATGGTCTCCTACATTTTCTTCAGACTGATCTCTTCTTTTGAAAATATGTACGTATAATAAGAAGACATTTATATTTGAAGTCATGGTCTTACAGGTATTTAAGAAGAAATAAACATTAAGCTTCTTTGTCATCTCATCAGATGTGGCACCAGTCTTGTCATTTAGCAAGCTTTATTGGACAAGAGAGGTTGGAGATGGACTGAAACCAATGATGAGAAAATGCTATAAAAGCTAGAGAAACTAAAAGTGGTTAATCTCTGGAGTATTACATGTTGATCAGCAGTAGATGATGCCTCAGTACAAGGAGAACTAGCGTGCATGTGTTATTTTTTCTCAGCCTTGACGTTAGGCAGACAAAATAGGTATTTATATAATTATAACATGTCTTATATGACATATTTCCTGTTTAGAGCCATAATAATCTTTCCATAAAAGACCCAGATAGATTGGTGCATTACTTTATCTTTGTCTCTGACTGAGAAATTTTATTGAACTGAGTTTGGCCCCTCTGTAATAATTTCATGGTGCAGTAAGTATACTGCTATATAGAGCACAATCGACACAAAACATATTTTATACAAAACATATTTTATATCTGTCTCTCTCAAAGACACTGAAATTTGTATTCACCTCTGTATCCCCAGGGCCTAACACAAAACATGAAATATAGAAACTACTTACTAAAATTTTTTATGAATGAATAAATGATGATGGAATAAAGTAATAGAAGGAGTTTTCTTCACTCTCTACTTAATAGAGGCCAATTTTAACATCAACCTGGCAGGAAAGTATTACCATTCTTGATTAAACACTGAGATATTTTCTTTTGGTATCCACATAGGTTAAAATTATAAGGAAATGTACAGATACCATACCTCAAGGAATAACAGTGCTAGAACATACTATATGCTCAACAAATATCTGGTGATTAACTGGCACGGTGGTTTTAGGCGAAAATAACTATAATGTGTCTGCTTTAACAACTTGGATTTATTTAATGACTGCATATTACCTTGTCATTTCCTTCAGTCTCCACCTAAACAGTAGTGAAGGTGCTCAGATATATATGCAGACCACAGCTCATTTTATAATGACACATTGACACAATTAAATGCCTAATTTTCTTCTTTATTAGGAAGGGGTGGAAGAGGAGGTTGGTAGAAAGGCAAAACATAAAGGCTGAAGCTTAAGAAACAATGAACTTATATCCATATTTTTAAAGCAAAATGCTTTATACGTAAGAATTTAAAATCAAAGACATTTAAATGTGATTTGAAGAAGTAATAACATTGAATCTAAATATGCTCAACAACTTCAAAGATTCTTACACACACTGGCACTTAGTTAACCCTTGGCAATTACATTTTGCAGAATCCATACTTTTAAAGCATAGATTTATTTATTCTGGAAAAAAAAAACTGTAAAATAAAATGCCTCTTACCTCATATACATTGAATTGTGATTGGCCTCTAGAAAGTTCCCTATAGCTTGTTGTAAATTCCCCAATGAAATCATGACTAAAATTAAAGGAAAAAAGTACAGAATATTAGCTTTCATATATTTGTCAATTGTATTTTAAAGTTTTTAGAAAGGTTTAATCATTATAAAAAAATACTTGATATTATTATGAATATAACAATAACTTATAAGATATTTAAAAGGACTAATACATAATTACATTGTTCATTAATCTAAAATTATGTATACTGGACAATTATATTTTCTTAATATTCAAATGTTTATTCCACCAGTATTAACATTTCCAACAGGTATACTAGTTTTAATAACTGATATCTCAAAACAGTTAAATCATCTGTTATTCAACTGATTAATCAGGATGAAAGTTAGAAATTATGCTAATAAATTATTATTGTCCATATCAATGGATATCTATTTTTAAAATATAATATTTAAAAAATCTTCAAACTTTCCTATGGCCAGAGTATACTAGGATGCTATTTTTAAAAAGCATAATACATTAACATGGATATTAGTCACTAAACTTTCTTTTCTATATTAATAGTTAATAAATATTTTATCAATACCAACATGTTAATTCAGATTTCTTCACCTTAAAGTGATCATCACTACCTTCTCAAGTGCATTCTTAGTTTAGGTGAGGAGAGGTAAGGATTGAGTAAACATGTATTAGTTCTCACTAAAAAGCTTTTATCAACTGAGATTGACCTGTGCAACTACAAAAAACATGCTAAGCAATCGGCAGTTTAGAGCAGACTCTTGTTCTACTCCCTTGAGTTAATTTAATGGCCAGTGCTAAGTTGAACACGTACTGCTGAGAAGTAAGTACAAAATACTGGTATTCAGTCCAACAGTGAAATGTAGTATGTTAGAAAAAGATCCAGGTTGTAGGAGCTAAAGTAGTATAACAAACATAAGAGATGTCACAGTAGCCATTTGCATAATAGAATTCAAGTTCTGCCAATTTGTTTGGCAAATGCAAGCTATTCCATGCCATAAAAATGAATGTTCCCTAAAATCCCATCCAATTTAATATTTAGCTGTGAATCGCTTAAAATCCATGAAACTTTCGTGGACCTGGCAATCAGTAACAAGCAATACACAAGCTGTGTTTAACCAATGAAAATACTGATTGTGAAAGACAGGATATGGCGGGGTAAAAAAGCTAGCTGCCATTGATTTTAGTAGAGTTTTTACAGTAAAAAGAAATGTTTTTAAAGAACTTATTTGAGATAAAACTCACTTAAGTATCCAGTCCTCTATTCTCCCTAGAATCCCTTGTATATATTAATATATCATGGTATTTTATGTGAAACATTACTCTTTATATCTGTATCACCTTGACCTCTTCTAGATTTAAATTTCAGAAGCAGATTAGTATGAACATGTGAAAAGCAAACAGAATTGTAGGCTGTGACATATTCCTATTTACGAACCCGGACTTCTAGAACTTGCTTTCAAGTTACCCAGGAAAAAAATCACAAAATAGTACTTTAGTGTTATATAATAATTTTGTAGTAGTACAATTCGTATGAAATCTGGTAACACTGGTTTAATCAGAACAAATAGAATAATTATCTTTGACCTTCAAAAGTGTAAGCTTATAGTCATGATTTATTTCACTGCAATCTTAAAATTCTCTGAGTTAGGAAGGTTTTGTTTAGTACCCATCCTCCTCCATTCTTATGCAAGTTTCAGGTATCTTAGTAACCACTGAGATAAAAGTTCTATTAGAGCACTTTGAACACAACCTTTTGATATCAATGGTTATACAGGAGTCTTATATAAACAGGGCTCACCACAGCAGTGGTAGGAACCTAATATAAGGGACTTAAAAATGCCTGCATCACTTAAGCCTTTATGATCATTTTCTGATTGTGCCAAACTTACCCATGCTTGGCTAATTTTTTCAATCCAATGTTCCACTCTTAATTGTTAACACTTAAATTCCTGCCACACAATGCTTATCAAAAACATTGCAGAAAGAAGTGATAATTCACTGGTCTCAAGTAAATCCAATTTCTCATCCATCTGGATAAAGTCAGTCTGACAGAATAACAAACCTAGACCCAATTGCAATGGTCAAGGTTACCAAACTATACATTGATATGCCTGTGTTGAAGTTATTGGGAAACTTCAAAAGAAGCAGTTCTTTGATATTTGGTTCTCTTTTGTTCTAGTTAAATTTGTAAGTCTCCACAGAATTGAGGAATGAACAACAGGTATAGGACAATCTCTTTGGTATCAGGACTAGGAATCTTGTTTGCTGCCCACTTAAGCTTTCTGCTCTGAAAGGACCCTGTTTATCATGAAAGGGAGAGAGCTTTCTCCTTTGCATTGGTGGTTAGAGAGCTTACAGCTAAAGTCTCTAGCAAGACATGTCTTTGTGACATGCTGTCCCCTGCAGACTTTTCAGATTTCTCACCCTATTTTTATCCCTTGGTTTCAATGTCCCCAGCCAGGTTAGTTTACTATCATAGTACAAGCATCTCTATAAGTTTTCTTGGATCCTTTTCAGAAGAAGATAGGACACACAGAAATACAACGATGAATAAAATGTTAGTCCTGCTTTCTGAATCTTGTTCAAGATGATTATTTTGAATAAAGCACTGAATTGACATGTCATGTAAATGCAATGCTATCCATGTATTGTAGAGGAGAAAGTATGTTGATCACATATTGCATTTCAGCCTCCAACACAACATTTCTGTAAGACTAAGAAAATATATTGTTGTATCCATTCGGCATCTAGAGAAGTAGATGATCCAGAAGTGAGGATTTGCCAAAAGTCATAAATATAAGGCAATATATGGAGATAACAATAAAATAGCCAACCCTAGATATAAGATGTTTTGTCTCAAGAATGTATCTGAAGAATCGGGGTAGATAAGTGGATAGATTCTCAGGCCAATTTTGTTACAGATCTCTTTTAATACATGGATATTTTTGATAATTTTCAACCTTTATAACCTGTCTGACTTCAAACACTGTATTTTAAATCACAGATAAGTACTCTAAAGAGAACATTAAAGGTATTTTTCACTAATTTTTATTATCTTTTACCCTATCATCAACTATTCCTAGATTTTGCTAAGATTAAAAAAAAAAAAAAAACAATGTGCATTATAATTTTATCTGTTCATGATGCTCAATACTGTAATATTGAAACAACTGTCACTATCTTGAGAAACTTTGATGATGAAAAATACTTTGATAATAAATCACAACCAATAATTTCCTTGTGATTCAATAATACTGTTTTGCTATTTCCTGTTAATTTAATTCAAACTAAAATAATTACTCTATAAGTCCCAAGCTCTCTGACTGCATTTACAAAATAAAGTTTACTCCAGTGCCATTTATCTGGCTTGTGTCTGTTTACATCTCGATTTTTTCCCATACCTTTTATTACATATATGTGTTATTTAAAGTCTGAGGGAATGAATTCAAGAGGCATTTTGAGCAAATTGATTACTACTATAGCTAGTAATTTGGCTTTAAAAGTCCTTAAGTGATTAAACTGTTGAATAAAATCTGTTTATTATGATCATTTCTATGCTTCATTAATAGTGGGAAAATGGTCTTATGCATAGTCACATTTATACCTGAAACCTGTAGGACAGTCTATAAACTTATCCATTCTCCCCGACTTTTAGGGTATTACTCCCTATATCACTTATCTTTTACTCTACAGCTCAGCTATGATCTCCTCCAAGAAGGTTTTTCTGCTTCATTCTCTTCTTTTTTGCTTTCAAAAACATAAAACAAACAAACAAATAACCAGTATCTCTCATCACACTTGCTATATTGTGTTAAACCCATTCTATTCATGTATTGCCTTTCTTCACCTATGTTTTGAAGGCAAGAAAGGTGATAACTTCATCTCAGGATTCCCAGCATCCGCCTCCATACCTGCTACACAATTGGCACAGCTGAATGTTGCAAACATACTTAGGGCAATAGCACAGTCATGCTGTGATCTTACCTTGCCAGTGATATTAAAAACTTTGCCTCACATCAACTATGTTCAGCCAAAAAGAATGGCACAGGTGCCAATCATAATAAATATATTAACCTTCTCTATCAGCTTAAAACAACTCTGGAAGTAATGCAGACAACTATGATTTCCCATGAAAATGCCTCCACATAGTTACAACAAAGTTATATAAAAAAGAGAATATTGCCTTTTTTCGGCACATCTGAATATTTTCCTGAAGGCCGCCTTTCAATAGATAATGCTTATTTTCCTGACATTTATCTTGTTTTGCATATAATGTGGACAAATGGCAAATACATACCTAACCCATCTCATCTGTTTCTCTACCACCATGCTGTCTTGAGCCAGTCAGTCAACCTCGGGGTCCTTAAGTCTTTACCTCAAAATTGGAGGTAATGCCTACTTTCAATTTCAAACATCAACCTAGAGAATTCATTTGATTCTATGAAAGGCATCTAATTTATCAAAAATACACTTTTAGAATACAATCTAATTATGAAGACTGTAATTCCAGAACTTATACATTTTGTCAATAAACAAGCTATAATCAAAATAATTTGTAAAGAAGTAATAGGTTTCTAAATGGATGTGTGTTGTATCACAATATTTTGGAGTTACATACACATGTGGCTTGTATCGCTCTCATGCAGGTTATCTTTAACTCACAAGGCACATCTCTCTTTTGGAGTATACCACAGTGTGACACGTTTCAGGTATGTATCAAAGGGCATCTCAAATGAGGATTTGTAAACAAATTGTATATGAAAGACAATTTCTCTAATTTGGATGCTGAAGAGATTTTGGAACAAAAGCTAGCATGATCTTTCTTATGGGAACAACACCCTCAGTTTTTGTCTCTCATTTGTACTACAGCGCAGTGACTTCCCATGTTTTCCTGTCTTGCAAATCTGTTCAAGTCCTGGAATGCACATCAAGATTTTTCAAAATAGCGAGTTTGAAAATGGAGTACTCAACAAAATGAAAGACCTTTTTGAATGAAATGTAGTTATGGATACCTTAATTAAATGCACGGGTGTCAGT